ATAAAATCAACAGATGAAACTTTTGTAGTATTTTTTTTGCATACTAAAATATATTTATATATAAATATGTGTACAGTATATGTTTTTCCAAAAAAATATTTATAATTTATGAGATATTATTATTATTATTATTATTATTATTATTATTATTATTAATATTATCATTATTATTATTATATCTATTTAAATCTATTTTTATTAATTACATTTTTTATACATTTCTTTTTCATTACTTGGAAAACGTAATTATGCTCCACATGTCATACATTGTTAAACATTTTTTTTTGTTAAAACTGCAAAAAAAAAAAAAAAGTCATCCAAATAAAACAACTGAACTTTTAACTTCGCAGGATATAAAGAGTTTTTCCTTCAGAGCTGCTCGGCATGTTTATTAAGAAGACTCCTGTTTCACTGATGAACACAACAAAAACACTCAAGTCTTCTCTGCCATGGAAAAAGCTCCTGCCTGCGTCTGACCACAGCTGGAAAACTCTACATTTTCCCACAGCACTACTGCAGCAAACCTGAAGCCTTCATCATTTACTGCTTTCACTCACATGTCTTTCCTTTTTTCCCTTCTGAAGAATAAAAGCTGTTCAGTATATTTCCACCATAGAATCAAAGATTTATATAAATGCAATATCACATGAGTAGCCATGCGATGTGGCTGGTTATCGTCACTGGTGGGGGGTACTAAGGCACTCGGCCTGTGATCAGTGCTGATATACAGCCTTATCACATTGCTACTCAAGTTATAATGCTCATATATGCTTGTAGATCATTTCAGTCATTCTAAATTAATGAACTATTTCCAAATAGAGCTGGTGGAATTATAATCTCATCATAATTTTCACTGCAGAAAAACAACGATTTTTCCACCATCGTGCAGCCCTGACGTCTATGTTTCACAAATGAAAAACAGCGATGAAGTAAATGATGACAGAATGATCCTTTAGGAGAACTGTCCCTTCATATGAGGAATTACATCCACAGCAGGTCTATTTTCTGTTTCTCTGTGAGTTTAAAGCATGTCCTGAAAGTCTTGAGGAACCATAAAACTGCTTGTCAACACGTATAATTGCCTTCACAAAGATTTCTTCAGTCTGTGACATTTCTCTTTCTCTCTCTCTGTGACTCCTGCGCTTTTTAAAATAGGGTCCAAATCATAGTAATCATAGACGTGGAGCAATTATGAAGGTTTCTGCGAGTCTGACATAATCACTTATCATTATTTTAAATATAGCTGCTGAATGCTGCGCTATATTTACCCCGGAGACTTGTGCTGTTTCTCCAACACCAGCAGCTGTTTCAAGCCAATCTCAGATCAAGAGGAAGAGGAGATTCGCCATCACACAGAATTATTCAATCACAACCCTCTGATGGCATATGAATTAAATGTACTGTGGTGCATATTTTGTTTGATAAAAAAAAAAAAATTATGTATTTTTTATTAATTGATTGATTTTTGTCTTACATGTAATTTTAAGGTAACTTTAAATAATGCTTTTATTACTTTGATAATTTAGTTATTTATTTTATTATTTATTATTGATTTTTTTATTTAATTATTATGTTTTTATATTTTTTGTAATTTTGTTTAGTTATTTTTGGTATTTTAATTATTGTTATAATAATAATAATAATAATAATAATAATAATTATTATTATTATTATTGTTATTATTATTATCATTATTATTATTATTATCATTATTAATACAATTGTTATTATTGTTATTATTATTATTACTATTATTATTATTATTATTATTATCATTATTATTTCTATTGTTATTAATGTTATTATACTTTTTATTATTATTATTATTAGCATTATTACTATTGTTATTATTATTATTATTGTTGTTGTTGTTAATGATTGTTATCAACAATGTTTAAACTACATATTATGTATAATTTATATAAAATAAATAAATAAATAATATATATGCATGACTATATATTATTAAAAAATTGTTTATAACTCAATATAAAATATTTATAAATAATACAAATTATAATTTTATATGTAAATATATAATATTTACAAATATAATTTTATTTATATAAAATAAAACTCTTCATACATACCTTACACCATATGTATGTGTGTGTATGCAAGTGTGAATATATGTGTGTGTATTTTTTTGTGTGTGTGTGTGTGCAACAGTAGCAGTATCAGTATGAAGGTCATCATCACTCACTCTGCATGCAGAGTCCGTCAGTGCAGTTCTTTGACTGCAGCACGGTTCCCTCACAGTCTTTTCCTCCGTTTTTGGGGGCTGGAGCACTGCATTCCCTGCGTCTCCAGTGAGTGCACTCCGTCCCACACGTCGACCATTTGCTCCACTCCGTCCACAGACCGTCCACTGAAACACACACACACACACATACTTGCTACTGGGACACAAATAAAGCGAGTAAACGAATATAGTTTTACTAGGACACAAATAAAGCAGGTAAACTAATGTAGCTTTACCAGGACACAGCGGGTTACAGGCCAGTTTCTGTATGGCCTGTCCTTCACAGATGGCTCCTCCGTTGAGCGGCGCAGGGTTTGTGCAGCTGCGAGTCCTTTTCTGAAAGCCACGACCACATCGACTGCTGCACACTGACCACTCAGTCCACGTTGACCAGCCACCGTTTACTAAAACACACACACACACACACATCAGCATCATCTACAACACACACTTAGTTTACTTAATCGGTTTGTGTTGAAATGACAAAGGAATTGTGTGTAACCCAGCATTTTTTGTCTTTCTGAAAATGATATTTGTTTATTTAGCTTCAGCAGTTTGTAATAAAGTCTGTATATCTGCCGTCACTCTATTGTAGTTTTCCATGAGCCACTTCCAATCAGAGCACAACCGTCTGTCTCTCTGAACCTCCTCTGACACACAGTCAGATCCTGCTTCATTTCTGCTGTGGATCATCCCTGATCAAAGCGTTTCTCTCCTCGAATGTCGTCCTCCAGACTGTGCGTTAGGCCTGAATGAGCAGGCGAAGGATTGTGACCTTTTGTCTCCAGAAATCCATCACAGATTTCTGACCTTTTATTGTGGTTTCCCTTGGATTCACCCAAAGCACACATGCTGAACGCATCTCTCGTCTTTCTGCTGCGGACAGAAAATGATAATGTGCGGAAAAGAGCTGGGAATGATGGCAGTGTGTAAATCCTGGTGAGAGTGAGTGGTTTAGAGTTTCAGCAGTGAAGCAACGCAAGGTGAAACCCAAACCCGGTGACATCATCCGCTAACTCAGAGAGCAGGAAAACAGAAGAGGATTCCTGGCAAACCACTGAAGATCACATCCACAAGAAAACACTGACATTAACTGCTGAACAAACGGATTCACATACCAAAACTCATCATGTACTCACTTTTATCTATCTATCTATCTATCTATCTATCTATCTATCTATCTATCTATCTATCTATCTATCTATCTATCTATCTATCTATCTATCTATCTGTCTATCTGTCTATCTATCTATCTATCTATCTATCTATCTATCTATCTATCCATCCATCCATCCATCCATCCATCCATCCATCCATCCATCCACCCATCTGTTCTCCATCAATTGATTTAGCTATCCAATCAATTCTCAACACATCTTATCAACCAATCACCTGGTTATTCATTCCTCCATCCATCCATCCATCCATCCATCCATCCATCCATCACTACTGACATATATGCCCATTCATACATCTATCCATCAATCAAACCAACCAATCATGCATCCATCATCTGTCCATTCAACCATTCACCTGCTTGACCGCCCATCGATTTATCCATCCATCCATCCATCCATCCATCCATCCATCCAATCAAACAACCAGTTACCCACCCATCCAATCATCAACTTAACCATCCATCCACCCATCCATCCATCCATCCATCCATCCATCCATCCATCCATCCATCCATCCATACATCCATCCATCCAACCAACCAACCAACAATTCCTTATCCATCCATCTAATCAACTGTACAAGCAAGCAACCATCCATCCATCCATCCATCCATCCAATCAAACAACCAGTTACCCATCCATCCAATCATCAACTTAACCATCCATCCATTCATCCATCCATCCAACCAACCAACAATTCCTTATCCATCCATCTAATCAACTGTACAAGCAAGCAACCATCCATCCATCCATCCAGCCAACTAACCAATCAACCAACTGACCAACCATTCATTTACAGAAACATCAAACCAAAAATCCAACCAATTATTTAACCAACCAATCATCCAACCAACCATCCATCCATCCATCCATCCATCCCTCCATCCATCCATCTAACCAATCCTTAATCTATACAACCAACCAACCAACCAACCAACCAACCATCCATTCATCATC